AGACCATCCTGGCTGGCGGAGATTGGTTGCTGTCGCTTGCCACTGATGTTAGCCTTTGCCAGGAATCGAACTCGGCCGGCTGGGTTTTGATAGTGTAGTGTTTTTACCTGAACCACTGTGCAACGGTGTCCACCCCTAACTGGAAATATAGGGTCTGTTTTTTTGTGATGACCTGCGTATTTCTGCTGTTTTAACTGTGTTTGGTTTGTGATCCAGGTAGAGCCTTATATATATAAAAAAGTGGGCTCCCACCGGGATTTACCCATTTTTATGATGATGATAATAACCGATTTCCCCCCCGAATCGTGAGAGATGGCAGCAGCTTGAAGATTACTTCATCCAGCAGTTGGATTGACAATAGATGATGATGGTATTTTTTTAAATTTTTTACGTCCGACCCATGTGTATGTGGGAGCGCCGTCTGCGCACAAAGAGAACAGTCTCCCATACAGCCTGAGCAGACTGTTGGGGCAAGTGCTGTTAGTGAGCACCTATGAAGGCCGGCACTGTGGCACACGAGGGGGTGGGTAGCCAGCACCACGCCCGGCCGCCTTTGTTTCCTTAGTGGCGATGTTTACACACCTCACCAGATACTCATTTGAGGAGAGGCCCGGGACCGGGTCAGATAATCGTCACTGGTGTTGGCGCAGTGCGCTAACCGCCGCGCAAACACACGCGTAACCGGCTAGAAGCAGGAAAAGAACATTCGCCAAGGCAGAAGATGCAAATGAACAACAAAAAGAACAAATTGAAGGTGTGCTTTAGAGGAATAGCTGCGCTTGTTAGCTGGAAAGGCACTCCACCCTCTGGGAAGGCCCTGTAGCGCAAGAGCTGTGGGAGTAGTGCACTCAGCACGTGTGTGTTGGGCTCTTACCCTAATACACCTTGTGGGAGCGATGACCCAAATTTCTTTGCCCCTCAACGACCCCGCGTCCTGAGAGCAACGAGTCCGCAAAAATCGTGTCTGCCAAACGCTGTCATTTTCTGCTTTCGTTTTGTTGCATAAATCTCTCGTGCGTGCGTGCGCTCCGCACGTGTGGGGAGCGGGGTAGTGTTGTGGTTGGCACACTGCGCGATGAACCCCGATTGCCGCTCACGATCGACAACAGTGACCGAATAATTGAGCCGGTCCTGGGTCTCCTCGAGGTCGATTTGGCCTTAAATGAGTACCTAGTGCGGCGTGTAAACATCAGCAGCAGGGAGTGAATGTGGTTGGGCGCGGTGTTGGCTCCCACCCCTTCGTGCGCCATACCAGCCTTCATAGGGGGTGCTCTCTCTAACAACACTTGCCCCAAAATAATCTTAAGGCTATAAGGGGGGGGGGGGGGATATTTGTCTTTTTATTTCTGTGTGTATGTATGTGGGGAGTGGTGATGCTGCTCCTAGCCCATTGTAGTACGAACCCAGCAAACAGTGTTTTATTCCCGTGCAGTAGTGAGTGATATTTCAACCTGTTTTGGGCTTCTCCTAGGTGGACTCAGCCATAGCACCGCCGCATGTGCCGTGTCGGTCTTTAATATATGCTCGCTAACAGCCCTCGCTGCAACAGCCTATGAAGCCTGGACGGCAGATCTTTGTCTTGTGTGTGTGTGTTTGCTGAATGTTTTACTTGCCTGGAGCCCAGTGCGCGGGAGATTTCTGCATGGTTTGCAGGTACAGGAAATGTTTTATTTTTGTATCCGTTTCAAGGGATAGGGCACACAATCCTCTGTGGGTTACAATGTTCTGCGAAGAAAATTGCTGAAGTAAAAAAAACCCCAAGAGATGTTATGGTCTGAACTTGTTTTTTTAATGGCAGTATCTCTCAACTCTGAGCCGTTTCTGAGAAGATAGTAAATTGGTTGTTTACTTGGCCTAGTGTTGGCCTGACTTCGGATGTTGCTTGTATTTAAATTGGTGATCATTTTGTTGTTGGTCCTTCCGTGCTCTTTGGTGGAGGAGGATAGCAAGTGCTTTAAGCTAACCCCAGAAGATCTGGCATTGTTTTTACAGCTTATATTAATTCCAATAATTGGTGTGTGTGTATATATTTTACCATGGTAACTGTGCCTAAAAGGTTAATTGCGTTTTAGAGACATGCCCTAGACTCGCAGTGCACCCAGCGCATAAAACCGTGACCGCAATTCGAAGAAGGCCGTTTGTGTACAATAAATAACTTAAGTAAATAAATATCACTTAATAAATAAATGCCGACTGCTGCTGTGGGTCGCTTGTGACCACATCACGCACAATTCGCCCGATATCAGACGTAGGAAGCCAAGCAGGTTTGAGCCTGGATAGTGCCCAGATTGGTGACCACCTTTTCTAAGGGTTGTCACAGGGCCTCTATGTATGTATGTATGTTGAACTTCTTTTGCACCGTAAATAAGCCAACCTTGCTGATCAGAAGTGCCGGGGAAGGACAACAAACTAAACACAAAAAGCAGTTCTAAAGGCCTCCGGGGCCTACATTGTGGGCAGCAGAAGCCAGTGCAGCAAACCCCATTGTTGTATAGTACTTCTACGCTTCCATATCCACACTCCCTGCCCGTACTAACCCGCACTGGCTAGTGTGGTGAAGTATGGTCAAATAAACCCCCGCGACCCACATTGGATAGGGGAGGGCCCTCATCTATAAGTATGTTGACAAAAGGGCTGTACTCGGCCACGTACAAAACCCTTTCAAGTGTGAGCTTCCTAATGCCAAGGTGCTTGCGTTTATGTTTCAGAATCAATTTAGAACGAACTTTGTTTCCGTAGCAGTAACGACGAAAAAAAAACCCCAACTGTATAATGCATGTTCTACGCTCTCCTAAGTGGGGTTTTCCGCCGGTATGAACACGATTGTGCTGATTTAAAATGACACATTCATGCCATGCGAGGATGGCGACATGATACGTGCCGTCATCTCGCCGCCGTCAAATGTTTTGCCCGCCTATTTTTTTTTATTTTGACCAACGAGCCAGACATTTTTTTTGGTCACGCCTGCCAACGTCACAAGTGACCTCCGTCCAGGGAAAGGCTTCAAGACGCTGTCGCTAAGAGGAGGGCGGGTGGCGGATGGGGGCCCTAAGCAGTTTGCTGTAATCTGGCTCAGCCCCGTAGTAATAAACTCCCCGCAACAGCATTGTGTGTTTGCTCCGTGCCCCGCCCCCCCCCCCTGGTCTGGGTTACACACCGTTGTGACTCAAGCTTGTGGACAGTGGCGAGGTGAGAGTCAGGGTTATTCCGACGATTGTCAGCCACCCAATAAATCGATGAGAGTGCCCCTCCCACCGTGTATCCTTCGCGTTAAAGCAAAACGTTGGCCAAAACACGCACGTGGGACGGGCATAAAACAAAAATATGTAAAGGCTGCTAAAATTAGCAGTCCCATGCCATACCTTATTTATTTATACCCATTTGCTTGTACGTACAGTACCAGCAATGTGTGTTTATTTTCCCTTGTGTAATGCATCAATCATGCATTGTGCAGTGTTGATGCGGGGTGGTGTATGCAAGTCGGGTGAGATCTAAGAGCTAAAGGCAATTTCTTAAACCTGCTTTACTAAATCAAATATCGTGTTACATTAGAGAGCGGCGCTGTGTGCAGGCCACTTACTTGCATTATTGTACTTAAGCATTAATATCCATCTTCTTTTAACTTGCGCACAGCTGAGCTAAAACTGGATGTTTCGGCCAGTTAAGTTTCAATTTGGACGTGCCGTTGCCGCCTCGCTTAGCCTTGTTATTTTTTGATCAGCATTAGGAAAGGATTGATATTCTTGTTAAACAAAAAAAATCTCTCCCGTTTGGAGGATGTAAAAGATAATATAATTAGCCGGTCACGTGCAATGTGTCTGCGTGTGTGTGTGTTTGTAAAGTGTTTTGGCCTTCGTAAGGGCTCGCTCATATCCCTTGCCCCAACAGTCTGTTTCAGGTTATACGGGGGATCTTTGCCTTTGTAAAGTAATGAAATTTTTTATCATTGCAGTGTCAGTCTTTGCGAAGTAGAGCGGTGGTGCACTGATTAGCGTACTGGTGACCTAACTTCGATTCCTGGCCATGGCTAACATCAGTGGCGAGGATTATATATGAACCGGTTCTGGGTCCACTCACCACCAAGTCTTTGTTCGGGTTGTTTTTTTCCGCGAGTTGTTTGATGCGATGTCTTGACGTTTCATCCCGCGTGCTGGAAACCTTTTCGGGAGGTGAATTTAACCATTTCAGTTCCTGCAGAAGCTGCAAGCAGGTGGTGCGAAACGTCGGCTGTCCGAAATCCGATGGGAAAAAACTTTTTGCTCTGTTGAAAACAATTAAAAATAACACTGCATCATTTTAACGTTTTATATTCCTTGTTAATTTCACAACTTTACATATTTTTGGAGATGAGGTGTTGCATTTTTGCAGCATCAGTCACAGGTTAATGCACATCAGCATGGCTTTCTATGGACAATAACCTACTCCTGGTGAATATATAAATGCTGAAACTGGGCAGGACTTATTGTCATTCAAGGTCAGCCTTGTATTACAAGTCATAGAAAGGTGTGTTCACTCGTTAAAACAATCTGTAGGCCGAGTCCATAGCCGAACCACCCTGAGTTGATTTTTTGTGGATTTTATTGTTCCTGGGAGCTTGTGCCAAACATGTGGCTGTCGGTGAATTGTGGCTACGGTAACAAAAGTAGTGAAGACTCCTCTTTACGCCTCCAAATTCCTCTTGAACCCTTTCAACCCTCGTTGAGATAATGAGTTACGTGAATGTGCCCTAGGATGTGTGTTTCAGCGTAATGCTTTTTTTTTTTACATATAAATCGGTACAGGACGTGCCGTCGGAACAAATTTTCCTCTCTCTAATTAAAGCAATACTCGCCCCACCTTGCGCGTTACTCTCAACTGTCCACGCGCACGGCCGTCTCTCGCGTACCCTCGGATCTTTCGTGTAAACCGTGCTGCTCGGAATTCAACATCCCCAATGCCGTTGCTTTGCTGATGACGGCGACGGCGTGTGTGCACGTTTCGTTGTTGACGTCGTGACACAGTCTGCCTGAGCACGGACGTGCGCAACGACATCGCTTCCCTGGCGCAGCTGGAGAACTGCACGGTCATCGACGGCTACCTCCAGATCCTGCTCATCTTCAACACCAAGGTGGAGGACTTCACCGGCCTCAGTTTCCCCAAGCTCACCATGATCACCGAGTACCTGGTGCTCTTCCGCGTCAATGGCCTCGAGAGCCTCAAGAACCTGTTCCCGAACCTCACCGTCATCCGCGGTACCCGCCTCTTCTACAACTACGCGCTCGTCATCTACGAGATGCTCGACATGAAGGTAAGGCCAATCTAAAACTGTAAAAAAAAAAATATATATATATTTTGCCAGGGCAAGGCCCCAACTGAGCTATGTAGCTCTTTTTTGGAAGCAACCTGACCACAAATGATAGCTCAACGGAAGTGGCTGATCATCACGTGGAAATGTTATAGCGGCCAAATACTCTGAAACGTACGTCGATTCGATAAATGTGGGGTAGGAGCAAATTGGAGGGCTCGGAGAAAAATCCACGCGACCAAACTCCAAATATACAGCAGCAGGCGTCAGGGTCGGGATCGAACACACGACCTCCTGCATACCAGGCGACGTAGTTAACATCTCACCACCTGTGTGTCCTCTTAGCACCTCTTTTTCCACTGACACATCCGAGCCGCACCAGGGCTGTGCCGAGCCAGCCCGGGAGCGGCTCAGGACACGCGCCAGCCAGGTTGTTCTTTTTCCACTGCAGATATCTAGCCGTGCCGATGACGCCACACGTATATTACTTCCCCAAAAAAGTGGTCATCGTTTCACTGATAGATGAAGAACTACCACGTTGATCAACCGCCAAATAGGAATTAAACTTGTATCCTTATGCTGTTGTGCCACTTGGCCGGATAGAGGCTATATTGAAGTGAATAAATTTGTCGGTACAACCGGGACAAAAAATAATAACACTACAAAAGAGACGGAATAAATGACACAAAATTTTTAATCCTTTTTACTGCGGTGCTCGGCACGGATGTCTCAACGTTTCCACTTGCAGATGTTCCCAGCGCCCGGCATGTGGGGCGAAACGTCGGACATGATATGGCACCAAACAACATGTGGCGCAACTTGTAATCGCAGCCATACAGCACAGCAACATAGATAAACCCATTCTCGACTCAAATCGTTACCCCGAACTGCGGCAATTCACGGAATTGCCAGCTCGGGAGGGAATCGTTTTTGTTGTCCGTTTTAAGTTCCAATTTGTACGCATTAGAAATGTAATAATTTGTCGATAAATTATTGAGAAAATGAGAAAAGGCTTTTTACCCTGTCAGGTATGAAGATGTTCACTTGACCTTTTTTTCTCCATCATCTTGATACTTGCAAAATCTTACACGCTGAGTTGAGGGGTGGAGGTATCAGAAAAAGCTGCTCGGACCTTGTAACGTTGGTGTAAGTGCAGCTGAATAACCACCCGGACCGCACAGTGGTGGTTAGCACCTTTCTAAGACACTTTAATGCACCCGTCTCAGGCTTGACAGCGCTAGAAGACCTCTTAAGTGGGCAGCAGATCACCAAACAATGCTGCCTAAAGACATTTAATAATGACTAATAGCAATAAACATGGCCAAAATTGGTGCTGCTTTTAAAGGCCACTGGGCCAAAAAATGTATACTGACTGCATTGAAACAAACAAGTAACTGCATGGTTCGTGGAACATCGGCATCATCGGCGATTCCTGTATGCGAGTTTTGTCTTTTTAAGTGTTTAGAAAAAAGCATGGGGCTACCTCGTTCGTCCGGTATACATCACGCACTGTTGTCTTACCTCCTTACCTCCGTCAGTCACGGTAGCCTTAGCGGTAAAGCAAACGGGGTGGGGAGCTGTGGAGTGTACCATGGTGTGATGGGGGGAGGGGGGGGTATGGTTGCAACTACATTCCACATGAATTTAAATCAATAACGTTCTTTACGATTGACACGTAAGGATTCTGCTACTCTGCCAGTGATGCGATGGATTGTCCTTTGCTCCCAGGTCACGATCCGTTTCAAGACTCAATTGTTTTTTTCCCCCCTCTTTTGTTTTCTCCGTCACATTTGTATTCGCTTGTGTCTTGTTTAAGATCCGTTATAAGAAGCGGCGATTTGCGGATAAGTAAATAATGAAAACCAACCGGCGACCATTATTTATTTATTTACCATTGAAGGCCCGCTGAGCTATGTAGCTCTTTTTCAGAAGCGACCTGGGCACAAATTATAGCTCAGCGAAGTGGCTTATCACGTGGACATTTATAGCAGTCAAATACTCTTAAATGCATGATGTCCATTCCTCAACGTGGAGGGAAAAACCAGAGGACCCGGAGAAAAATCCACGCGACCACGGTGACAACAGACGCGCAGACTCGAAATATGCAGGCGTCGGAGTCAGGATCGAACCCACGACCTCCTGTATACCAAGCGAGGTAGTTAACATCTTGGCACCTTGGTGCTCCGGCAGATTAATGTGTCAATAAACTACTGCTGGATGAAGACCTCTCTATGCTTATCGATTATGGGGGTTTGTTATGTCATACTTCACCATGACTCTGGTTATTGTTAGTTGGTGAATTTGGGGGGAGAGGGGGGTTTGGGTTGTAGGGGATGGGGCGGGGGGGGGGTCTCAGGACCGGTTCAGATCTCGCTGAGCTGGCCTAGTAAGTCGCTTCCTTCGTTGGCACGATGCGCCTGCCACAGCGTGCCTGCCACAGCGCCACCACTCTATGCTCATATCATGAGAGTAATAATTAATTTTAATCGGTAAAGCAGCGCCTTTATAGACTTGCCTTGTCTCCAAAGCAACGGCACAACAATTGCACATTTTCTTCCCTTCGTAAAAGCAATCATTATGTTTTTATTTGGATGCTTTTCAGCCACGGCAGGTACAATGTAATGAAAATATTTCCAAACAAAAATATGCTTTAGTGTGGGAAAAATAATAACTCTCCTTTGCTTTTTTTTACACAATTGGAAAGAAATACTGTACTGTATCGCGCAAAGCCATTCCTGAGACTGGAACAAATTGAAGGCTGCCCGGAAAGCGTCCTGGATACCCATTAGTGGCCCCAGAAGCATTCCAACCAAATAAAATGAGTCATAAAAATACAAAACACCACTATTTTACTGCCTGAACAACAGCAAGTTTACTGCTAGGGCATGATGTAACGCGTTGCCAAGCGACGGTGTGGCTGGAGGTATGCCGTGGTGGCGAGATGTTAACTGCCTCGCCTGGTATACAGGTGGTTTGCGGGTTTGATCCCGACCCTGACGCCTGCTGTAAATTTGGAGTTTGCATGTTCGTCCTCCCTGTGGTCGTGTGGATTTTTCTCCGGATCCTCCGGTATTCCCCTCCAAATTTAGAATCAACATGCGTTTATTATTTGGCTGCTATACATTTCCACATGGTAAGCCACTTGGCTGAGCTATCATTTGTGACCAGGTCGCTTCCGAATAAGAGCTATATAGCTCAGTGGGCCTTACATGGCATAATGAAATGTTTAGTTTTAATTTACAGCCCTCCGCCCACCCCCGTTTTCCTGTGCGGCCGATGTATGAAGTAATTCATCGTTAGTGACCCCTAATTTGCTAGACGTCCACCCTCCGTCGCGAGCTGTCCACGTAACGTCGTGCCACTTCTTCTTCGCACAACTCCCCTTGAAAGACAAGAGGCGGGGCGGGGGGGATGACCCTTTACGGCAGCAGTGTCACGTGCATTCAGTGTGGGTTGCACTAACACTTGTTTTTATTGCTTTACCGAACACGAGGAAGGTTACGTAACACTTCGTTCAAAACCGATTCGTCTTCATGCCGATTCGTGGCATAGTCGCTGGTTCGGGGTGATCGTGTGATGCCCAATTAGATGGCGCGCAGCTGTAACACGGCGGACCGAATCTTGAGCAATAGGGTTTCGCTTAAAACTTCCGAACTAGTATAGATATTCACCACCCCCCCCCCCAACCGCCACTCCCTGTTTGGACGATGTGTGAAGTTTAGTTGAACGAGAGTGTGGAAAGACACATTTTCTGCTTCTATAAGTGTGTTTACATCTGCTCGTAAACTATCCGTGGCACAACAGCTGTTCCTTTTTGGCAGGAACAGCATTTTCTTTGCTTTACCAAATGTAAATACTTGTGTTAAATGCGAGACTCAACACAAAGTGACCTTCCAAACCGATTACTCGCTGCCGCCGGTCAAAATATTTGCTTTCGCAAACATTTTCATTTATGCAATCTGGCTCTCAAGTAGACAATTCTGAAGAATAATAAAAAAAAACAATTGACCTCCACCAGCAACTTTGCCAGTTGTGGCTTGGCAGGTACAATTCTGTGGATAAAGATCAAGGGAGCCACAAGCAAGCTCAACAATAGTCCAACTGTTGGTGCGACTTGGTGCCAAAAGAAAATATTGCACAGCGTGCACACAGTGCGTTTTTCCGCCGCGCGTTTTGTGTGCTTAAGTAAATTCATAAGTGCCACTGGTGTAATTCAGCTTGCACACAGAAGGACAACATCACGGCTACCTTCTGATTGTTTTTCTGGCCCGGTATATCATGCATCCTCGGCTGCTCACGCGCGTGTCCCGCCTCATTTTCTCCAACATTTTTTGCGGCACGAGAAAGAAAACCATGAAAGCCGCCGCCGCCGCCGTTGGGCAAGCCAAGGGAGTGTGGCACGCTGCCCGCTTTGCTGGGTAATGTGCCACATTTGCCGAGTGGGAAGCGTGCGGGCATGAGAATAATGATCCCATTGCGCATCACGGTGAAATCGTGAGAGAGGGCGTTTAAGTGTAAATACATGGCCAGAGATGTGGTTTCCAATGTAGGCTAAATTGTCAGATGCTTCTCTTTAAAAAAAAAATAACCTTCAGCGTTTTTGAAATTGGATCGGTGGCGCAATGCTTTCGGACAATGTGCTGCGAAGCTGGTTTCACCCGAGTTCGATTCCCAGCCATAGTTAAAACGTCGGAGGTGCCTCGTGATATCTGAACCTGTCCTGGCCCACCCACCGCCTCCCAAAACCCGTGTCGTGAAGTATGGTCAAACAGCCCCTTGACCATACTCTTTGGTTCTATTGGGTAAAGTCACGTAGGTAAAAAATAAAATAACAAAAAATCACGACGTTTCGGCCACAACACAAGCGGCCTTCATCAGGTGAAGGGACGGGACTGTCTGTAGGACAGCACTTCAGCACTTCAGCGCTGTCCTCCAGACAGTCTCGTCCCTTCACCTGATGAAGGCCGCTTGTGTTGTGGCCGAAACGTCGTGATTTTTTGTTTTATTTTCAGCGCTGTCCTCCAGACAGTCTCGTCCCTTCACCTGATGAAGGCCGCTTGTGTTGTGGCCGAAACGTCGTGATTTTTTGTTATTTTATTTTTTACCTACGTGACTTTACCCAATAGAACCAAAGAGTATGGATCCTAGCAGTCACGGAAGCTTTAAATCCAGCCCCTTGACCCACATGTCATGGGGAGGCTTTAAAGCAGTGAAATTATAAAAAGGTTGTAAATTATTGCTCTCGTAATTATTACGTGCATTTTGTAATTCTAAATAAATACGAGATAGCGATAGGGATCTGTAAAAGTTAGGCGTCCTGAAACGAAGTCACAATTTGACCCCCGTGTTCCCGAGTTGTTGCCGAATCTTGTTTGGCCTCGTCTCAGTTGCTCTGCCTCGTCTCAGTTGCTCGACCTCGTCTCAGTTGCTCGTCACGCCTAGTTCCCGATGGAACTCCTCTCACCGTTAGCCAACCATCAGGCATTGCGCCGAACAACGCGGTACAAAACCCAAAAAGCACATCGGAGGGCTCTTCAGCGCAACGGCGAAAATCTACGCAGCAGTAAATTTCGTGATTATTTTTTATTTCGCCCCGTTGCCTCGCGGCAATTAACATCGCCCTCATTCTGCGGGCCATGCCAGCTGCAGTGCTGTGACGAGACCGAATCGCAACAGGGTCCAACACCTAGCTTTTGCTTGTGCCCTACTTGGCCCTGGTCTGCTTACCACGCTGAAAGACTCGCGCATTGTCCATCGGCAAGGCCAATATTTTTCGATCTTTTTTGTTTCGGAATCACGTCCCCTCCCCCCCCCTCCCCCCACGGCGCTGGGCAGCATGCGACGGGAGAGCAGCGGCGATCTTGCACCACGTGCTCTGTGCGGCTCGTTCGTGTGGCGCGCGGAGCTTGCTCGTTCGGCGCTCACGAGCAGAAGAAAATTGGGAACGTCCCTTGCGGTTATGCTTCGTACGGCAGGGCAGGAACTCTGGGTTGTGTTCCCTTTAAACCACTTTGCAGCTCTTAATAGGTCTCGGTGCCAAGGATGTGACAGGGTGGCATATACCTTCGCCTCGTAACCCACTTGACTAAGCCTTGCGCCGATCAGCCCCGCGTGCTCTTTAAGTCTGGGTCAAGCGTGGTGGTTTGTTTTTGGGATATTATTGTAACGATATACTCATTGCTGAACCCGATCAAATATCAACGTAGTTGGCACTTTTTTTGGCTAATTTCTCACACGTGGCTGATGGACATTGCTTGACATTGCTTTACATTGCATTACTGGTGCGAGCTTTTTGACCGTCCATCGGCAGGGACAACATTTTCCATATGCTGTGGAGCCATTGGCGCATTGGTGAAACTAAGACTAACCTGTTTTTATTTTACCAGGTAAGGCCCACTGAGCTATATAACTCTTTCATAAGTGACTTGGCCGCAGATGATGAGCTCAAATAAGTAGCTTATCAAGTGGACATTTTTTGCAGCCAAATACTCTAAACGCACGTTTCTAAACGTGGAGGGACCCGGATAAAAATCCACGCAACCACGGGGAGAACATGCAAACTCCAAATATAAATGTGTCAGGGTTGAGATCGACCCACCGACCTCCTGCATATCAGGCGAGGTAGTTTACGTGGTTAGCACGTCAGCCCGTCGAACTGAGCGTTCGATTCCCGGCCAGGGCTTAACGTCAATTGCAAGAGATATGAGATCCAGTCCCCTCTCTCCGTCACTGATCCATATTGCCCAGCGTGGCGAAGTTTGGTCTATCGGCTCCCCATGATGTAGGTACGCCTTCATCCGCGGTGATTCGACGTCAAGCAGGCAGGCATGTGTGCGCGTTGAAAATTGAAACAGAGGTGACCAAAAAAGGTTGTTGATGTTACTGGGTCAAGTTGTGAACTAAATTTGGGAGCTTTGGGGCACGTCCAAGAGGGTGTGCAGGTAGCCAGCTCTCTGGAGAGTGGACCGAGCATTTGGGGGCGATGGGGGTGTCTGTCGCGGGTTTGTAATTTATCTTCTTGTTAATAGCCGGCCACGCTTGGGTCGCCAGTGGGTCCCTGTCGTCACAGTCACTTTCGATGATTTGATGTCATCGTTGACCAAAAAAGCGTGTCGACAAATAACTTTACCAATTGCTTGCATCTTCTTTGGCTCTTTCGGTAAAGTCACGTAGAATGAGAATAAAATAATAAAATAACACAATAAAATTCTCACGACGTTTCGGCCACAACGCAAGCGGCCGTCTTCTTGTGGCCGAAACGTCGTGAGAATTTTATTGTGTTATTTTATTCTCATTCTACGTGACTTTACCGAAAGAACCAAAGAAGATGAATCCTTGCAGTCACGAAAGCTTTAAATCGAAATTGCTTGCATGTTTTGCTACAAGTATGTGCGGGTTAATGCACACTTGATGCCTTGCAAAAGGTATCTATTTAGGCGTTTGAACATTGTAACATCTGTTTTCATTGCCAAAAAGGCTGAAACCTATTCTTATTTTTCATTATTTTATTATGCTGGCAAAAAACGGTCCCACGGATATGAATAATTTAGCCCGTTTATATTTGTCAACAACCAAATCGACCTCTCGCACCCCGCTGCCCGCAGGAAATCGGCCTGCCGAGCTTACGGAACATCACCCGTGGCGCAGTGCGCATCGAGAAGAACGCCGACCTGTGCTACCTGAACACGGTGGACTGGTCGCTGGTGCTCGACTCGGAGCAGAACAACTACGTCGCGGGGAACAAGCCGGCCAAGGAGTGCGGTGACGTCTGCCCGGGGGACGCCGACGGAAACAGCCGATGCGAAAAGACCCTGAAGAACGGCAACTTTGCCTGCCGCTGCTGGTCGAGCGAGCACTGTCAGCAAGGTGAGAGGCCGACCGCTGAACCCCCTCTCCCCCGGCCGCCCTCCCTCCTCATCGGTTCTTACCCACGGGTGGCTAGGGGATGTTAACTGCCTCGCCTGGTGTATAGGAGGTCGTGGGTTCGATCCCGAACCCGACGCCTGTTGTATATTTGGAGTTTGCGCGTCTCTCTCTCTCTCTCCCCCTGTGGTCGCGTGGATTTGTATCCGTGTCCTCCGGTTTTTCCCTCCACATTTAGAATCAATATGACGTGTTTAGTGTATTTGGCTGCAATAGATTTCCACATGATAAGGCCACTTCATTGGGCTATCATTTGTGGCCAGGTCGCTTCTGAAAAAGAGCTTTATAGCTCGGTGGGCCTTACCTGGTAAAATAAAAAGTAGATTAGTTTAATAACAACCCCCTTTCCCACCGATGGTTTTGCCTAGATTCAAGTTCACCTGTAACTTTTACCATCACCTATATGTAAATAATACACGCTACAAATATAATAATTTCTCGCATGTATTTACAAAAACATGGCAATAGCGTGTGTGTGCTAACCAGTAATATATTGGTTAGCGTGCTGCACTATAAACCCAGAGAGCTGAGTTGTATTCCTGCTCATGGCCAACACCAGTTACAATTATCTAAACCTGTCATGGGCCTCCCCTCGGTCGACTCAGCCTCACATGGGTAAGGTGGCTGGGCGTGGCGCTGATCACCCACCCCCCTTGTGTGCCATTCCGACCTTCATAGGTAATTTCTGACAGCACTTACCACAACAGCCTGAGAAGGCTATACGGGGGATCTTTGTCTTTGGGCAGACACAAATTAAGGTTACCACAAAAGTTGGCAGATGAGCAAGTTGGCTGGCTGCATGTTAGCTTCTGGGCCACATACGGGGTGCTGGCTGAGAGCCTGTAACCCTGTAAGACATCCAAGTTCTTAAATGACTGATGCGTTGCTCTGTTGTGATGGTCTTCGGCTCAGCACGGCAAGGTTAGAGATCTTATAAAGCTCAGCATTATTTATTTGCTGGGAAACTTGCTTGGACAAGCGAAAACGACAGGTCTATGTGTGAACGTTTGAATAATATTGATTAATATTAATGATGATTTGACGGCGCCAACAGGTAAGTTACTCGCCGCTCGTGTACAGAGTTCACTGTTTTAGACGAGAGCAGAGTTCCAGGTGGAGAATAAAAGCTGTCTTTCAGAAAAAAAAGGATTTCTATCCAATCACCTGCAGGAAATATGGAAAGGTCCGTCAAATGATAGGACCCGGCAGACAGGTACAGTAATTGAGCCGACCAAATCGTATCTTACTTGCAGGTTCTCTAATTTACAAGTTTAACACGTAGGCTTTCGCGACCAAAAAAAAAAAAACCTCTTATGGATTAAATTTACAACTCAACAAGGTCATAAAATGCGCGAGTTAAGGCTCTTCGCTTTGAGAGTTGAGAAAAGTAAGTGGGCCTTGGGGGCAGGAAACGTCACTTCGAAGGGACGATGGCCGGCTGTCGAGGTGAACGGTGGGAGTGGCGGCTGAATGTTAGAATGTTCCCACGACGATGTCCACCGCAGAGATGGATCGGCTCATGTGCAGGTGCTGGTTGGATTGCGACTTTGCAGTGGATTGAACATGGCCGTTGTTGTTTTTGTTGTTGTTGTTGATGACGACGATATTGAAACTGTTCGGCCCGCAGCATACATTAGCATTTAAGTTTACAATTATTGCAGCTGCTCTGCATTCCGCGCGCAAACAAACACTCTCAACCGGTGCACATTTTACGGTCTTGATTGTTTCGGTTTGGTGTTTTTCTTGTTTTACCTCTCCCCTCCTTTTCAACAACATCGCAATTAGCGGTCGAGGCATTGTGTTAAAAATACTCGTGCAGTAGTAGTACTCGGGTGTTTCGCACTCTCCTGCATGGCGAAATGCGCCCGTCGGTGTTTACATCTGCGGGCGTCCGTGGCCGCTACCGAAGAATCCGCGCATCTCGCGTCCCAGAGATATTCACCCCCCCCCCCCCCCCCCCGCGCGCGCCTTTTATAGCGAAACGCTTGCCCCGTTTTTTGCGCCCGTCCCTTCAGCGTCGTTGCACGGTGCTCTCGCTCGCGCCGCCGCCGCCGCTGTTTACAGGAACGTGCGCGTCAGGCGTGCTGGCGGCACGCTCGGTTGAGTCACGCATTTTCCCTGGCTCGCCGGGGCGTAGCATGTGCGCGAGTCGCACTGTACGATCCGGCGCGTAGCTGTGATTTACCGCTGAGTGCCACGTGCGTGAATCTTTTGAAGAGTGGCTGTCCCCGCCGACCACCTAAAAAAGGGTAAGTCATGCACGGGGTCAGGTGGCTCGGTTAACAGGATGTGTCGGTGCGCTTCGCTCCAATCATGGGAATCTGCCAGTGTGGGTGTGTGTTTGGGTGTGGGGGGGGGGGAGTGGTGGAGTGGTTAGTGCCGCCGTGCTATGAATCCAGCGACCCGAGTTTGATTCCCAGTCACGGCCAACATCGGCGCTGATTATCTGAGCCGGTCCTGGGCCTCCCCTCGGTCGACTCATCACCAAATGGGTACCTGGTACGGTGTCTAAACATCACCACTAGGGAGGAAAAGGCAGCCGGGCATGATGCTGGCCAACCTACCCTGTCGTGTGCCGTGCAGGCCTTCATAGGTGTTCGCGAACAGCACTTGCCCCAACAGTCTGTTCGTGCTATACGGGGGATCTTCGACTCTGTTTGCGGTGCTGTGTGTTTTGGCTTATTTGCATATTGCCACTTAACTCTGGGTGCACACTGCGTGCCAGGTTGTTAGGAGTACAGGTGCTGCGGTCTTGACTGATTAACCATTTACTTCACCTTGCCCGACTAATGTTTGCCAAAAGATGTGCTTTTATAATATTGAACCTCGGCAATGAAAATCAAGACCCACACCCCCGCTGTGCCTTAAAGGGAGCTTGTAATTGATATATTCTACCTGCTGTGACACATTAATCAGAAACATTGGACATTGACATGAAAAAACATTGACATAAACAAGCATGGGGAGGGGGGGGGGTGCATGCTTAGAGTTACACCATGTGACATGAATTAGGAACATAATCACTTATAGCAACATAATGCAAGTACAGACATTGTATTGACTGTTAAGAAATGTAAGTAAAAAAAAACTAAGCTCTTTTTTATTTTACCAGGTAATAGTCATAATTCCATTCATATAGCGCTTTTCATCAAGGATCTCAAAGCGCTGTACAGGTGGTAAGGCCTACTGAGCTATGTAGCTGTTTTTCAGAAGCGACCTGCCCACAAATGATAGCTCAGTGAAGTGGCTTATCATCACGTGGCAATTCGATAGCAGCCCAGTACTCTCAACGCACGTTTATAACTGTGGAGGGGCAAATCGGAGGACCAGGAGAGAAATCCACGGTGACCACATGCAAATTCCAAATATCCAGGCATCGTCAGGATCGAACTCGCAACCTCCTGAATGCCAGGCGAGGTAGTTAACATTTCGACAGGACACGTTGCTGGAAGGGACGTTGGCCACTGGTCGAAACTCACGACGGAGTGGAACCCGAAGGAGGGAAACGTGCACGAGAGGATGTCCACCACAGAGATGGAGCAATGAAATTGGCTCGTGTGCAGGAGCGAGGTAGATAGCATTGCGTGACCAGGAGGGATGGTGAGAGCTCGGAGGGAGGCCTTCATCCGCAAGTGGTTTGATGATCGTGGCCGACGGTGATGGCGCTTAATTGTTTAATTACACCCACACATGTTTTTTCCCCTTTTGAAGCGACACCAAGGACAAACTCTTGTGAGCGTAAGCGAAGTGAGCGGATCGCACGTACGAGTTAATGAATTGTTACACAACACCTGCGGGTGAACATTGTGTTTAAAAAATAAAAAAAGCCCGCAGCCCTTGTGAGCTGGTACAGTTGGGTGGCTCGTATTGGTCTCTAGGTCAGGGGATTGGCAAACAAAACAACGAGAAGAGACATTCTTTTTTCGAATTCGGTAAAAAAAACGAAACCCTCAACATTTCAAGAGCCGCAATGCACGTGGACAGCGTCACGGAAGCAGCCCTTAAAGAGCCGCGTGCGTAGGGAGCCGCAGGTTTTTAGGCCGACCCCTGCTCTCGGTGCACCCTGTCGCATTCCAGGGGAGGCGCACGAGGAGCCGCCCCCTCCCCACTGTTCCCGATGACCTTTTTTTTTGTACCGCAGCTCCGTGTGGCGTTTGTGACCCAGCCCAGCCCACCCACCCACGTTAACACAACGACGGCTTCCGCGATAAACGCTCTCACTCGCACCTCCTGCGCGTCGCGTGCCCCGTTCGCCCCCCATTTGTATCGTGTCGGAAAACATTTGCCTCCCGCCGCCCACCCTCCCCCCCCCCGGAATTCGTTCGTGCGTGTGTGTGTGTGTTTTTACTCCGTTCGACGAAAGTCAAAAACGGTGGGGGAAGACGATGCATTTTTGGCGGTTTGTGCGCCGAGTGCACCCGACTAATGCCGGGATTTCCGGTGTCAAAATAATCTTTCAGGGGTTTTTTTTTTTGTCGCGCATTCGAGGAATTGCAGTCGAAAAAGGTTTTTTGGGGGTGGGGGGGGGGGGCGGCTAACCGAACGCTTCGTTTCATTCGAGCAGGTCGCTCGCATGAGCGGGCACGCATCGAGCCCGGCGGAGTGACAAATAATCTTAACGTAGTTACGGAGGCAGGCTCGCTCCCGCAGAAAAGAAGGAGAGGAGGGGGGGTGGTTACGTGTCGTGCATTCTTCCTTTGGCTGTAAAACTCTCTCCCCGAGTAGCAGCGAGTCTCCGTAAGTGATGACAGCTGTTCTTTGCAGTTCTTATTTATAGCCCGGGACTGTAACTGACCTGGGAACACACACACACAACAGGTAGAGCGGTGGGGATATTTGTGTACTTAACCACACAAAAACCTTGGCGCAGTGACTCGCCGTGTGTAATGTGTTTTGTTTGGCAAGAACAGCAAGGAAATGAAAATAATACTGACGGATATGAA